GCTAATTTTGACTTGATCTGTTTATTTCTGACTTTGAGTTGTTCCAGGTATTCTTGAGTGCTAACGTAGGTAGCTATTCAAGCTTCTATGGGTCTTTAGTATGGGATAATTAATTTTTTTATAAATTCGATATTAAAGATTTAGATGGAAAAACTGTGTAGATACCGCGATAATAAGAATAATAGCTGCTGATAATGATACCAAAAATAAAAGGATTAATGGAGTAATCGTCTCTCTAAGCGTTGATAATAACATACCTATGTTTATTGAATGTCCATCAGAACAATATAAACTGACAATTAGGTCAAGTACAATAAAAAATGCGGACGCAGATTATTTGCAATGGTGATGGCAGTTGAATATTTTGCTTTGCATTTTTCAAGGCTATTATTTATACATAATCTGCTGTTTGCTGATTTATCTTGGTACTTAGATGAAAATTGGACCATGCACGTTGTTTTCATATTATCGAAGATGAGTAAAGCCTTAGAGTAAAGCTTACTTATATTTTTTCATTTTCTACATAAGGTTAGGTGGGGTAAGTGCAATTTTGGGGAAAGTGCATCCCACGACCCTGAAAAATTAATTTCTAATGTTTATGGTGCGCCATCTATGAATTTCAATTGAAACGTTCATACGTCAGCGTTAGGAATCGACAAAAAGCGGCAACAGCGCGCGTCACTTCGGCAAAACCTGTTTGAACTCCAACGTGCATTTTGAAATTCTTGTGTAAATTGGATTATTTAGTTTTTATAAGTGGTTTCTATGTTGTCTTTGGGTAAGTGTAAAAGTGTTCATATGTAATAGTGTTCGCTTTTGGTGTAGTTCAGTGGGTGCAAGTTGGTTTTCTAGAGTTCAAGCTAAGAACTGAAATTCGCGTAGGTGTGCACTTGCCCCAGCAAAATTTGATATTGGGGAAAGTGCGCATTTTTCGTGAGGGGGAAGTGCACATGGGGTGTGCTCTTACCCTATAATTTTTTTTAATTTTCTTTTGTAGACTTTTCACAAAATGCCACGAGTTTACGTTAGAACTACACAGCGAGGACAATCGTACACCCAAGAAGCCTTGAGACGTGCCGTGGAAGAAATTCGTAATGGTTCAATAAGTCCAAAACGAGCTGCAGCTTTATACAGAATTCCATTATCAACAATTCGAGATCACCTGAAAGGAAGACGTGGAACGAAAAGCTCAACATTTGGTCGACCGCCTGCACTTCCAGAAGAACATGAACGAAAATTGGCGAATTGTTTGAAAAAAATGGAGACGTGGGGATTTGGCTTGAGCCGGTTGGAGTTGCTTGATATTGTAAAACAATATGTTGAATTGAATAATCTGAAAACACCATTTAAATTCAACAAGCCTGGAGAAGATTGGTTTATTAACTTTAAAAAGCGGAATTTACTATCGATAAAAAAACCTCAGAGTATTGAATATGCACGGAAAAATATGACGGATCCTTTTATTATATATCCCTACTTCAACTTGCTCAAACGAACGCTTCAAGATCTCGATGTAATGAATCAGCCAAATAAAATCTGGAATCTGGACGAGTCGAGTTTATGTCTTGATCCCAGCAAAACTAAAGTGGTGGGTGGAATTGGAAAGACTGCTTCAAGAACTGTGAGCAGTCCTGGAAGAGAGAATACAACCATATTGGCAGCTGTAAATGCTGCCGGAAAAAAAGCACCACCATTGATATTATTTAAAGCAAAAAATCTTTGGAACTCTTGGATTCCCGAAAATGAAATTTTTCCCGGTACCGCTCATGGCGCTACCAAAAACGGATGGATGGAAGCTGACGTTTTTTGCAATTATTTAGCAAAAACACTTATTCCAACAATGGGCGCAGAAAGACCTCAGCTACTGATATACGATGGTCACAGTACACATGTGACAGAGAAAGTAATCGAACTTGCTATTCAAGAAAATATTACAATCCTGAAATTGCCTCCCCATACTTCCCATTTATTACAACCGCTAGATCTATCAGTGTTCAAACCTTTAAAAGATAAATGGGACGCAAAATTAGTTACATGGCAGAGACACAATATAGGTGTTAAGGTACCAAAGGCTACATTTTCCGCCATGGTCCAAAGCTCATGGCTAGAGCTCTCTACGGAAACAATCTCAAATGGTTTTAAAAAGGCAGGTATTTTTCCGTACAATCCGAACGTGATACCTGAAAACTTGTTTGATCCCGAAAGCCTTAAACGTTGGAAAAAGACGCAGGAGGAAGCACCTCAAGGAGCGCAGGAAGAAACACCTCAAGAAACGCAGCAGGAAATACCTCAAGAAACGCAACAAGAAACAACTCAAGAAACACCTCATCAAATAGAAAATATTGAATCTGTAGCGAGTACTTCTGCAGAGCCAATTCGTCCTTCAAACGGCGAAGTTTATCAACCACCAAATGTTTCATTTGAGCAGCTTTTGTTGGAAACTATCAAACAATCCAAAAAAGAACCGATCACTAAACGTAAGCGTATCGCCCCCGGTTCAGAAATTATCACCTCCAAACAGGCTAAGGCAAAAATGAAAGAGCTGACAAAGAAGTCATCTAAAAAGAAGCCCGAGAAGTCACCTGAAACAAGCGAATCTGATGACGCATCCGTAGATTATATTGATTCCGAGGACGATATGGATCCGGAAGCATTTTCTGATGCTTCTGACGAGGATCAAGACTGTTTCTTGGCAATAGGAAAATGGGTGCTAGTGCAATACTGTACAAAAAAGACAATGAGACATTATATTGGACAAATTTTTGAAAAAGCTGCGGAAGAATGGACTATAAAATTTGTCAGGTCATATAAGGGAGCATTTATATGGCCTCAGGGAGAAGATATCGACACAATCGCAGAGGAGAACATAATTAAAATTTTGCCTCAACCCACAACTGATCGACGTGGAAGATTTATTTTTCCGATAAAATTCAGTGGAATTAAAAATTTGTCGTAAGTAACTGCGTTCCAAAAATTAATCGGTTTAATATAAGTACTATTTTTCGTTAGAAGTTATTATTTTTTTATGTTAGTTCAGATTAGGTACAAGGAAGATTATTTGTCTTGATTTGTTCAAGTTTTGAGTTGTTAAATGCCAAATAAAAATTTCTGGGTTAAAATTTAACATCTTTTGATTTTTTAGTTTCCCGACATCTTAACCAAAAAAGTTTGTAACTCCCTCAAAAATTATCCAAATCAAACCTCACCTATATGAAAATTTTGGCAAAAAATTAAATAAAACGCACTTACCCACAAGATCCTATAATAAAAATGCATGTCATTATTCCACCAAAGTATGCACTTACCCCAATTCAATGGGGTAAGAGCATACCCCAACATTGTTTTAAAAAAACTCAAATTTTTCAACTAAATTGAAATATTTGGCTTCCCAAAAACTCTGATATATTTGCAAAGGTATCAGTTAGTTATAAAATCATAGTGGGATTTTGATCTCAATTTTAATTAATTTTAGAAATACCCAAAAACTTCAATTTATCGAAAATGGGGGTGCACTTACCCCACCTAACCTTAGTAGATAAGTAAATAAGTATCTATTCCATTATATCGTACATGATGTTGATTTAGAGTAAAAGACTGTGCAGTTCCCTAGTTCCACAGGGAGGTAAGTAGTAGAGTTTCCCCTTTCCATTCTGATGATGTGGACGTAACTGGAATCTTTCTCCGCATTTGGTTTTCACCATAAAATTCAACAACGGTTCAAGTTTTCCAGTGGTCAGTGCCATCTTTAGGCATCGGCCAGCTGGGCCCTGGTCCAGGGCCCCCTGTCATAGGGGGCTCTGTCGCTAATTTTTATAAAAAAGTATTCGAATAATAAATGATAATATCAATAATATTTAATGAAATAATATTCAAATAATAATTATTTAAATATAAACTAGGTGCTGTCCGACCATCTATCATTTATTTGCGGAACCCAATTGCTTTACTGAGTGGCGAGTGCTGCACTCAGACAACAAATGGAAAACGCCATAAAATATTTAATTTTGTTTTGTAAACGTATTTTTAAGATATGACTTGTGACTTGTTTCTTGTAGCACGATATACCTATTAAATATTATTATTTAGTTAGGCAAAGGTTACTTATTTGTTTGTATATGTACCTAAAAATACGTGTTTCATTTTTTTATTTTTGATATATACAGGGTGTCCACTTAGTGCGATATCGGACGATATCTCCTTACAGCGTGATGCAAGAAAAAAAAATTAAATTACAAAGTTGTTTGATACTCTAATATGCATATGCATTAGTTAAAAATATTTTTGAATATACAGGGTGTTCCGTTTATGGGATATGCGACAGAACTTTCTTATTTTAAGGGGAACACCCTGTATGTGATTGAATATTTGGATACTAGGTAAAATTCTGACCAGATTTCATGTAATATACCCTATACCTAGGTTCAACTGTTTTGGAAATATTGACAGTTAAAAATTGACTTTTTGCAACTTTGACAGGCTTTAAAACCTAAACGGTAAATTTTAGAGGTAAACCGATTTTATATTCCTGTCTGCCAGTGCTGACTTTGTTCACTTATAAAGCTTAAAATTGTTTCAATCTTTTTAATAATACTAAACATCAGTCTATTGAGAAACCTAACTGTTTTTTGGGACTTTTATGAACTAAATTCAGTTCATGTCATGTTTTTAATTTTTATTTATGTACCTACTTAATTAGTATTTTTACTCTTATTAGTACATTTGTTCTATTTTTTAACATGTTTGTGAATAGCATAATTTTTAAAGTCTCCGATTTTTAAGTTTGTTCTCTTACTTAATCCGCACTGATAAAAATGGTCCACTTATGACAAAAGAATTGATTCTTTTGCCACTTTTATTTTTAGAACAAGGATCCTCTTAACGCAAGAAAAAAGTATTTGGCTGGAGTACCAGGCGCGTCCATCATCAGCATTACCCAACCAACAAGCCGACGCCACTCCGGCACTCCCCTAGTTACAAATTCACCCTTGCCTGGTACAGGTCTCAAATCGCAAAAAGACAGAAGCCGTCTGCATTTTTCAATTTGTAGCCGTGAGTCTTTGTGGTGCGTGTTGAAGTATAGATTGTAAAATCATAACAATGAACGTAAAGGAATTATTAAATAGTTGGCGTCTGGACCATTTATGGCCAAAGTTTGAAGGTAAGTTTGAGTGCCTTTTCAAGCCATACCGCATGTATTTATGCCGCCATTTCGTGTAGGCCATATTTAGTTACCTACAGCCTGCTCGCGGGTACCATTCGACCAGGTTTTGCCCTTTATCATTTCGTTTACCATCACCAATAATATTTGCCCTTGTGTCTATTTACCACAAGATAATTTGAATATAATAATCAATGAGGCCTCCAAGTTGCTTTTGTTATAGAATTGGCGGTAATGGCGTTACCTCATTTTAGGTCTAAGGCACTTGCCACAAAAGAATGTGTGACTCTTCACAAGATCGTACAGCCTGTGGCCATCTTGCCTTAAGACTCATGACTTTGTTACAAAGAATTCTTAATTTTGCTGCAAAAATGCTTTTCTCTTGTGGTAGGTACACAAGTGTCAATAATTTTATTTGGATTTTGGCTTCTTAATGCAAAAAAGTGTGCAATTTACTAGATTTTAAATGCTCTTCAAGCCTATAAAGTTTAAATAATTAACTTCTAGTTAAGTAGTTACCTACCGACTATTAAAAAACCTTGCTTGCAATTTTTACTGAATTTCAGGAAGCAACAGCACCTAAAGAAATTGAGTTACCAACAGAATATAACATATCAGAATCGTTAGAAGCCTATCAGATAATCAGTACAGAAGAAAACATCAATTTAGCTGAAATAGAAGATATTCCAATCGTTTTCATCGCTGATGGACCCTTATCTGAAGAGCATGAGGGTAAATCTTTTTGTTATACCTATCCTTGGAATTTCACATCTGCTGTGCAATATTTTTGTAACAATGTTACCATTAAAATTAAGTTGTTTTTTTCTTTGCCTTTTATTATTTATCTTATATGTTGTCAATAGCACTGTTTTGATGTATACCTATATAATGTATTCTTGCAGAAATAAGTTTTGTTTTTTATTTATTATTTCAAATAAATATAATATGTTTGTATAGAAAAACTATTATTTATTTTTAAAGCAACCCTGTATATGCCATGGGATACTTTTACTTCGAAATTATTGACGATTTCCAAAATTATGTTTGAAAGCGCGTGTGGAGGAACAGTAGCATCTAAACATGTCGCTATAGGTACATATTAGGATTCGGCAACCAGGCAAATTTCTTTGGTGTGCTCAAATTGACAGTTGTTAATGTTATGTTTTTTTTTTTTCAAGTTAGTTGAAAAAACTTGAAAAAAACCATTAAAAAAACAACATAACATAATAAGACATTCACAACTGCCAATTCAAGCTGACCAAAGTAATTTGCCTGATGGGTGCCGAATCATACTGTGGTACCTAAGGCAAAATATTCATTATCTTCACTGAAAGTACCATCAATTTTAAGACAAGAAACCCATAATTTGTAATAGGTAACCCAATTCTTAGAACCAAGTTCACGGTGGTCTTACAATGAGAAATGGAATTTGTAACAATAGATTAAATTTTTTGGCCCAAATTAACGATATCTTTAAATTAAGAAACAAAACTGCATAGAAAAGATTCAATATTTTCACTCAAAATTCCAGGGAATGTATGCTCTTGCCTCAAGATAATATTTACTTAACAAGAAATGTGAGTTTCTTGAGCTAGACTCAGATTCTCTTGGACAAAATGAATAATGTGGAGCAGTTGCAATGTAATGTTGCTCTTATGGCAATTCCACCATTCATTTCGAATATATCAAAAGAATAAATAATTTGGGTGAATGTCAAATTCCTTTAACATAAAGGATCCTTTTTATCAGTGCGTGTCGGTCCTAATGATGATGGTGTACTTTGGTCGAAAACTCTCGAAATAATAAAAATTATCTTATATTATAGCTGATACGAGTATAGGCGTGTGATTGTTTTCAATACTTACTGCCAAGTGTTTTCAATTTTCATAAGTGAGCCTCTAGAGAGGAATCCCTTTAACAATCTAATATGTAATACTGCATTACATGTCAAGGTCCTTTTTTTAACAAATTCCCAGATAGCACAGAGGCATCTCATAGATGTCCCTAAGATGTCCACAAACGGATTAGAGTCATCTTCTAGACGTCTGCTTACGTCTTCAAGGCGTCTTAGAGACAGCTCAAAGACGTCGTATGTTACAAAACCCAATGTCTTTCAGATGTCTGCCTAAAGACGTTTTCAGGACTAATATTTTATTATTATATTACTCAACTTTCAATTTTTGTCTATTCCAAACGCTAGGCTCTTGAACAAAATTTATTTGGGGAGAAAAACGTTAGATTAACCAGGAGGAAAAATTTAAAAACTAATCAAGAGCCTGAAATTCTAAAATACGGGAATAATGAGAATTCAAAAACTTGGAATGAAAAAATTCAAGAACCAAAAGAAAATTAAGAATTTAGAATAAAGAAATAAGGAAGAATTAAGAGCCTGGAATAGGAAAAATTATAAAAATTCAAGAATTTCAATAGAAAGAGAAACATTTTCTTGCGAATATTTCCTTATTATTACTGATTTTATAACTTGTCCATTCCAGGCGCTATAGGCACTCTGAAATAATTCTGAAGTTTTTAAATTGTCCTGAAGCCATTCAAAATGCTGCTGGAAAGTGTTTTGCAACGTTCTAAATAGTTTATTGAAGTTCATAAGTGTTCTAACTTGGCTTGATGAGTTCTGGAGCATTTCAGAAGTTTTTTAGTAATCTCTAAATTGTTCTGACAGATTTTTAAGTACTTAAGAGCCCTATATTGAAGCTCCAAAGTGTTCTAAATTGGTTCAAAAGAGTTCTAAAAGGTTTCCAGTTCTAAATTGAATCCTAAATTGTTCTAAAATAACTCTGACGTTTCTCAATTGTTCCAGGATGCTTCTGAAAATTGTGTTTTGGATGCTTATTAAAGGTCTACAGCATTCTAAATTCGTCCTTAAAAGCCGTTTGAAACGCGTTTTGTAACTTTTAACCTGAATACTAAGACTCTGGCACTTTTCAAAATGTTTCCAGAGATTCTAGAATGTTTTAGTGTTTTGGAGCGTCCTGAATTAAATGGTTTTCAATTTTCTGAATTGTTCTGAAATGCACTAGGAAATAGTAAATCCGTTTTTTAATATTTTGGGGCATTCTGAAAAAGTTCTGAAATTTCCAAAATGTTCTAAAGCGCTACAGAATGCTTTCGGAAATTGAATTTTAAGTGTTTTGATGTTTCCAAAAGGCCTATTTAAGTTCTAAAATGGTTTCCAGTAACTTCTAAATTGAATGAGAAACGATTTTTGTGGGAAATTTTTGTAGACATCTTAAAGACGTGCCTTCCTAAGATGTCGACATACGAGATTCAAGACGTCTTGCTTAAGTCTTTGAGGCGTCTCAAAGACATCTTGAAGACTTCGTATGTTACAAAACGCAACGTCTTTCAGACGTCTGCGTCAAGACGTCTTTAGGCCTTAGACATTCTAAAGACATGTCCACAATTATGGAAATCTTCAAAACAACATTTTCTAGTCGTCTTTTTAGTATCTAGACGTTCAGACGTAATACAATCCTAAAAAAAGACGTCTTTGACTTTGTGTGCTGTCTAAGTTATAACGAAAATGCACTAGGAAAATGTAAATGGATTTATGTATATTATTCTTATCTAATTTGGATATTTTTGATCATCTCTAATGTCAAGGGCAGAAAAGTTACACTTTCCACCAGCGTCATGTTGAATAAGCCTGTATATAGCACTAATATACTAAAGAGCCTGCGACATTCTTCAGATGAAAAAAATCGCAGCTCATAGAAAATTCGAATTTAATCATGAACGCGTTGTATTAAATGTCCTAATTTAAATATTAATTAAATATTTATAAGTCCACCGTGTAAACAATAACATTAACCTCCACTTTATTTATAACTGATGTTCACCCAGGGGATCAACAATAGACAGAAAAATCGTCTAGTTTATTTGTGGTACACAAAACATTACCAAATCTATAGTTATGCAAACATTATTTATATAACACATTATTTAATAAGTGTCCTACTTCGAGGAATGAGAAAGTGGTACCCGGCCGTCGTGTGCAATCTTCGTATCCGAACCAAATAACACTTTTACTTTTAGGCTCAGCTTTGCTGGGTCAGTGTGCCATTTTCACCCAAAAATTCAACTAACAATGGTAACGTAGTTTGTTCTATCGGTGTGCCGTTTTAAAGGAGTATTTCAAACAATAATGATGCCATTGAATAATAAGTGAAAATATGTGGTTTTTTGCAGTATTAGTTAGTGGTGTTAAAGGTGATTATCCACCAGGAACGAAATTTAAAACCGATACAACACATTTGGATGTTTTTATGTTGCTGTTTATGCTGTGTACCCTGGAAGTTGTGGTACTGAAAATTATCAGTTACGAAGAGGACAACGAAAGACATGGGATTTCGTCGACTGTGAGAAGGTCTCCTGTTGCTATGTTTTTTGATAGGGATTAGTGATTTTGCAATTCAAAGTGCGTTCTTGCCCATATTTATTTATTATGTTAATAAATGAAATTAAGTATTAGTGTCTACACTTTTTTTCAATATTTGACGAGGTAATTAATAATTATTCCATATCTCTCTGTCTTGATTTGTTTATATTTTCGGCATTAAATTTTATTTAGTTTAAATTTGGAACATTCTCTTTTTGTTTAAAGAAAATATACATTGTGCAGTTTGTACCTAATGCATTCTTTGCTTGCTATGCTAAAAAGCTTCCATACCTATGTAAATTAAATGAGGCAGTTGGGTTTCATACAAATTGCACATAGTAAATTCTTATGGTTCGGCGGGATGATAGAATTCGCTTAGTTTTATTAGGTAGATACCTACCAGAAAAATTTGATTTTTGAAATTTTTAATTTGTAGGAAATTTAAAAAATCACTTGTGTGATGTGTCATAGAAATATTATGATTATATTGTGAAACACTTGTTTTCTTGATTTCGCAAATTTGGTTTAGTGTCTGATTATTTATTTCGATATTTGCGATCATAATATGTATTCAATGTTTAATAGAAAGTATGATTGTATATTTATATTACATATTTTATTTATAAGTAAAATTAAAACACGTGCGGAATTTAAACCTTGCTACTGGTGAAGAATTTTGCTTATTCCACGCTTGTTATAGAATATGAATAAACTATTCCCGGCTCGGCTTCACTTTTTCTCAATTCCCAATACCTATAAAATTCCCCAGAATCTGATAGAAGTTTGTCCATGCTTCTCAATGGACTTCAATGCATACCTAAATATTGACTACTCAAATGTCTTCCGCTGACTGTTTTCTGACTTGTGAAAATTTCTTTCATTCAGTTTTTTTAAGTACAAGTTTAAAGCATCATACAGATTTTTTTTCGACTAAACAAATTACATTGTGTAGGTAATAAGTTCTAACTTTTGAGTCTAATTTAAAGCAACACATGATTGAAAGAGGTACGAGGTCGGTTAAATTAGACAAAAGTGGCAGATTTTAGTATATATTGAAGGTAAGTTCATCATTGCCAAATTTTTGTTCCTTTCCGAGATATAAGGGAAAATGTAAACACAACTAAAAGCCGTGTGAAGATAACAATTACACTATTTTGTATTGAACACTTTTTTCTAAAGTTGATTGATTTTGAAATATTCATTAAATAAGTTTTACCAAAGAATATATTGTTCGAGGCATTTTTTACATTTTCCCTTACCTATCGGAAACGAACAAAACTTTGACCAGCCTGTGCTGTGACGTATCTTCAATTAAATGGATACTTAAAATCTGCCACTTTTGTCTAATTTATCCGACCTCGTCCCTCTTACCGTTTCAGAGATAGCAGTAGTGGTTAAAACAGACAACCTGTATATTTGTGCTGGTTTTGTATCCTGCTTTGAGACAAGGGGCTGAAAACTACAATATTTGATCGAGCTGGTACTGAAATTTTATTTCAGGCTAGCGGCTAGAGGCTGATCAAATGCGTATACCGTTCTTCCACTTTGCTGCGTCCTATGCGTCTAATTATCAAGCCTCAACGGCTTTTCAAGATAATGAGTGTAATGAGGTTGAGCAAATAATACCTATACTTTATTCAACTAAAAAATTTAATTATTGATAAAAGTCACTTCCAGTTAATCGTGATTCTGGTAAAAGTATTATTTTGTAGTGCTCGAATATGAATCTGGTCATGGTCAAATGAACAGTTCTTGAGATATTTTAAAAAAGAAGTTTTAAACCCTTATTTACTTTGCCGCCCTTGTTCCGAATTGTTGGCAACGATTCACTTAAATTTATTTCAGTTACAGGTTACAGTTGTGCGAACAGTAACTAGGTATAAGAAATTTAGCAATGCGGGTTGCTAAAACTAATAATTCAATTTATTACACTAATTTTCATTGTTCATTGTTTTCGGTAAATAGGTAGGTACTTCAAATGTAAGTCATTTTACGTGTTGTAGTAGATTTTTCGGTGGGTCGTACGAAAGCGTAGAGCTGCCATGCTAATATTGGAAAATATTTTCATGAAAATTTACACTTTCTGTAAATTTAATTAGTTAAGGTTGATGTGGGTTAGTTTGCAATTTCAATCAGACATTTCCAAACTCACCAATAATACTTTGCAATTTTAATCAGACATCACCAAAGTTACCGATAATAACCCGGTGAATTTGCAGTTTTAAGAAGATATTGTTAAACTCACCGATAATAACCCGGTTAGTGTGGGTTAGTTTGAAATTTTAATTAAACGTTGCCATTATGTTTCCGATATTATTGATTTTCGAAATGACGGGTTTCGAAATATTACACTGAAAAAATTAGTGAAAAATTTGCCTAATAAATATTTATTTGTTTTTTTTTATTTCACCCAAATAATTATTAGTTAAACCAACGACAATGTATTTGGTTTAAATAAATCTGCGTATTTGGTTTTTTCAAATTATTTGTTTGGATTTCGTAAAATGATACGAGTTGCATTATTAAATAAATATATATTTGGAACGAACGCCATAAGTCTTAATATATTCAGATTTTTTAAACGAAATAACAGCTACTTTAAATTAAATATTCTGGAATTTTTACAAAATAAACATGACCAAAATTCAAATAACTGGGATCTTTGTAGACATTTGGCTATTTACGCGCATGCTCGAGTTCCGAATACTGTGCTGTGTGCATCACTGCTCGCTCTTTCCTGTTGTTGGTTTGGCACGCGTCGCATGGTCTTACTTTGAATTTTTATTTTTCGGAGTGGTTTCCGCAAGATGGAAGATCTTTTGGCAGAAGTGTGTGTGCAATATCTGTGGCCTTTAATACACAGTAAGTTGAAATTATAATACCTAATAGTTATCATTCACAATATTTCCAAATTATGCAAAAAATTTCAGCAAAATGGTGTCTCCAGGAACAAAAAAATACGTCGCCTTGGCCGATATAATTTTTATTGGGGACTTATTTCTACCTGGACCAGACAAACATCCTCTCACACTGAGGCAATAAGCAGTAGGCAATTCGCAATAATATTTACGCAAGTATTTTACATTTATTTAAATTAGAGGTCTCACATTAGAGCAACCAGCAATATTTTCCGTTCGACAGATATCGAGTTGCTCCAATGTAAGACCTCGGATTTAATTCAATGTACGATTCTTGCCACCACAAAAACTGTGCATCAGACGAACCACCTGCAAAAATTTTCAGAAGTGCCATCGAAGTGAATCAGATTCCAAACATTGATGATGGGACAGGAAAAGAGAATAACGACGAACGACTGAATGAGAACGACTCACCTGTGCAGCTTCACAATAATTTATTGATTTAACTAGAATAAAAACATAATTAGATGGAACAAATCAAGCTTTAAATGGAACAATTTGTTTATTTGGTTCAAAATAAAAGAAGTTGAAAGAAATACTTGTTTTATTTACAATAAATAAATATTTATTTAATTTAAATATTTGCTATGAGCTAACTAATGCATGATTTATTTACTAGAACTAAATATTTATTTATTTTGTCAAAATGATTGATATTGGAGCTAAACTAAGAATAATTTAATTCAAGCAAACGGAATGGAAACGGTCAAACAAATTCAGATTTTTTTTTTAAACAAATATTTGTTTGTCCATTATCAACCAAATATTTATTTAAGGGAACTCCATTTTTCTTTGGACCAAATATTTTTTTTTTCAGTGTTGCCTACTTTTCGAAAAATATATTTTCAAAATTATAGAGTTTTGAAAGAAAATTTATTCGAAACAAGCGTTTTCGAAAAAGTTTGTTTCCAAAATAACAGCATTCGGAAAAAAATCTAAATTTGTCTTTTCGAAAATTGAATATATAGGGTGATTCAGTGTGAGGTTAGAATTTAAATATGGCAATACTGGTTTGCTGGTAGCAATATATGGCTGACATTTGACATGTGTCATAAGTGAGTATTGACATGTGCGAGGGGTATTCAACACAAGAACGTATTTTAATTGTTAAAACCTATTTCTGAAATGGAGAAAATGTAACAAAGACGATTTGTGCATTACGAAATACGGAATGACTTCGGTAACCATAACTGTCCATCTCGTGCCGCGGTTAACAAATTGATTCAAAAATTTGACCGAACCGGATTAGTGTTGGATGTCCAAAGACCAATACGTCCTCGCAGTGGTCGATCAATCGAAAATGTTGCCGCAGTGAGAAACCGTGTACGTGACAATCCGTGTTACATTTTCTCCATTTCGGAAATAGGTTTTACCAATTAAAATGCAGTCTTGTGTTATCATCGTTTCAGTTTCGTAAATGTCAGTAGGTACTCACTTATGATACATGTTAAATTTCAGCCATATATGGCAGCTAGCAAACCAGTGTTGCCATATTTAAATTTTCCCCTCAAACTGAATCACCCCATACATAGAAGTCTGACTTACAAACTTATCTAAACTAACCAGGTAGGTTATTGTCATTGTTGGTGGTAATGTCTGACTAAAATTGCAAACTAACTTAAACTGACCGGCAACCTTATTCTGTAACTTGCGCTAAATGTACAGAAAAAGTATAAACTTACAGAAAAAGTGTAAGTTTTTATGAAAATATCTTCCAGTATTAGCATGGCAGCTCTACGCTTTCGTAGGGACAAGTGAGTGAAGAAGTTTTTGTTTATGATGAAAACAAGAGGACAGCCGAAATGCATCAAGGACAAGATTTATTGAAACTTGCGGACGAGAAAGAAGTTAAAGAAAAACAAGTATAGGAACGTCTCTAACATATTCTACAAGAATAAAATCAACAAAAAGATCTTGAAAGCATCGCCAGATAGGTTCGAAAAGAAGTCGAAGGCAAAATGGGATTGGTCAAAGATGAAATAGAAATAGTCTGAGAACGCGACCGGGAAAAATTCGAGAAGAAATATAAAATCGAAACAAAATTGGGATCAAAACAATGAAGTAGTAAGAAGGTTGGAATAGCCCTCTACCTATCTACACAATA